ATCAGACGTCTCGAGCACAGGGGTGAAACTTTTGTCACATCTGTCAGCGTGAATGTGATTTGTGAAAGGGTAGACGTTACAGAGCATATCGTTTTAAGGATGCAGCGAGGACGCTTTCTGTTACAAATCTGAAGCTCAGTGCAGCAAAGAGCCTCGTTAGCTTCATATCTGAGACTTTAGCTTTAATCCACTTGCACATGCAGTCACACCAAAGCTCCAATAAATAACAGCTCAGACTGAGCAGGAGTGATTTAACGAGGCACTGCAACGTGCTACTTCTCATGTCAGCCTGAGTTTGAGAGTGATGATGGATGTAATTCCCAAAAGAAGCACCAAAACCAACAGAAGGAGACGAAAATTGTTTTTTAGGACATAAAAACAAGTGGATGTCCCGGAGGTCGGTGCAGCGTGTGAAGAGCTGCTGGGCTAGACCTGATGCTTTATCATCTAAAATAAAAACCAAACGTGTCTCTTGTCTTGTCTTCTCAGACATCACCGTTAATGCCACCGAGGTTAAAAAAGCAAACAGCAACCAGCCAGTAAAGGAACCTTTTTTACTCTGTTGAGACAACAACCAGTAAAAACTTGTTTAGTTTCCATGTGAGTGTGGTGGAGTCTCACATTTACACTGACTTCAGATCAGCCCTGCTGCAAACAGCAGAAACACATCAAATAACCAGTTTCTTCTGTTCTTAGTAAGTCCCAGATAGTTTCTGGTTCATTTGCACCTTTAAACAGCTACATTTACGATGCACATCCATCAACTTTTTTATCTAATATTCTGAACTAAACTTCAAATTTAGGCTGATTCTGAAAGTAAAAACAAGTATTTTGTCGCCTTTTACATATTGATATTCTGTCAGAAAGAGGGCCGTAAAAAGTCCAAAGTCTAATATCGATTCGATATCACAACATGAACTATCGCAATATTTTAGTGTAACAATATTTTCTTACACCCTTACATTTGAGCTGTCTAGAATTGGGGGCTTGCCCGGGATGTGTAGTTTGTTCGTTCAGTTCTGAGCCAGCACAGTGCACACACAGGTGCAAATGCTGTGGTGAAAAATGTAAGGATAGATGCTTTTTACCAGGTGACCCTGTTTTCTGTCTGAGGGAGGAAACACTGTCGGTCATCGGGATTCAGGATTCTGGGAGTTAGAGTCAGCGTTGCTTCCACAGACACAACAGCTCGAGACCTGCCCACACACACACACGCATACGTACACACACACACATGCACACGCACACACGCACACACATACACACATTCATGCGGCACAGATTAAATAATTAGAACACCTGCTAATGAAACTGTTTTACAGATTTTTTAAACGAAGTGCAGACTGGTGTTTGAAAGCTTGAGGCCTGTACCTGTAGACGGAGACCTCACTCGCTCCAAACGCCCCAACGATCAGATCTGCAGAGAGAGAGGAGTGAGCAAAAGGAAGGAGCTTCAAAGAATGCAACAGATGGGACTGATTTCAAGGTCTCCAGCAATCTTCATCAAACACAGACACTGCATGTAATAACACACACACACACACACACACACACACACACACACACACACACACACACACACACACACACACACACACACACACACACACACACACACACACACACAC